ACACAGGTCAAACGTTTTCTGTAAGTCTTCACAAGGTTTTCACACACTGTTGCTGGTATTTTGGCCCATTCCTCCATGCAGATCTCCTTTAGAGCAGTGATGTTTTGGGGCTGTCGCTGGGCAACACGGACTTTCAACTCCCTCCAAAGATTTTCTATGGGGTTGAGATCTGGAGACTGGCTAGGCCACTCCAGGACCTTGAAATGCTTCTTACGAAGCCACTCCTTCGTTGCCCGGGCGGTGTGTTTGGGATCATTGTCATGCTGAAAGACCCAGCCACGTTTCATCTTCAATGCCCTTGCTGATGGAAGGAGGTTTTCACTCAAAATCTCACGATACATGGCCCCATTCATTCTTTCCTTTACACGGATCAGTCGTCCTGGTCCCTTTGCAGAAAAACAGCCCCAAAGCATGATGTTTCCACCCCCATGCTTCACAGTAGGTATGGTGTTCTTTGGATGCAACTCAGCATTCTTTGTCCTCCAAACACGACGAGTTGAGTTTTTACCAAAAAGTTATATTTTGGTTTCATCTGACCATATGACATTCTCCCAATCCTCTTCTGGATCATCCAAATGCACTCTAGCAAACTTCAGACGGGCCTGGACATGTACTTGCTTAAGCAGGGGGACACGTCTTGCACTGCAGGATTTGAGTCCCTGGCGGCGTAGTGTGTTACTGATGGTAGGCTTTGTTACTTTGGTCCCAGCTCTCTGCAGGTCATTCACTAGGTCCCCCCGTGTGGTTCTGGGATTTTTGCTCACCGTTCTTGTGATCAATTTGACCCCACGGGGTGAGATCTTGCGTGGAGCCCCAGATCGAGGGAGATTATCAGTGGTCTTGTATGTCTTCCATTTCCTAATAATTGCTCCCACAGTTGATTTCTTCAAACCAAGCTGCTTACCTATTGCAGATTCAGTCTTCCCAGCCTGGTGCAGGTCTACAATTTTGTTTCTGGTGTCCTTTGACAGCTCTTTGGTCTTGGCCATAGTGGAGTTTGGAGTGTGACTGTTTGAGGTTGTGGACAGGTGTCTTTTATACTGATAACAAGTTCAAACAAGTGCCATTAATACAGGTAACGAGTGGAGGACAGAGGAGCCTCTTAAAGAAGAAGTTACAGGTCTGTGAGAGCCAGAAATCTTGCTTGTTTGTAGGTGACCAAATACTTATTTTCCACCATAATTTGCAAATAAATTCATTAAAAATCCTACAATGTGATTTTCTGGATTTTTTTTTCTCAATTTGTCTGTCATAGTTGACGTGTACCTATGATGAAAATTACAGGCCTCTCTCATCTTTTTAAGTGGGAGAACTTGCACAATTGGTTTCTGACTAAATACTTTTTTTCCCCACTGTATATATATATATATATATATACATATATATATGCCATTTGCAGACTCTTATCCAAAACAGTCATGCATGCATACATTTTAAGTATGGGTTGTCCCATGAATCAAACCCACTGTCCCGGTGTAGACTAACAGGGTATTTAAGTTATGTGATCTATCCCTTTAAGTAACTACACCATAATTATCGTTGACAAACCCAACAGCCTTGAGAAAACCAACATTTTTAAATGTACACCCCACATCTCTCTAACCCAATGTACATAAGGGACTAGGAACTAATTAAAACACCATATACGGAAATCAAACATATCACCGGTGCCAACAATTATTTTCATGGCCATTTTATTTATGTGAATTTTACAGAGACCGTACAATGTACACACATTTTAAAATAGAACCCTTTATTTGTCCACTGAAATCTGTCTTTCTTCACAATGTGCGGTTCTTCTCAAGGGTACTGTTCTGTTTATAATGAGAAATAGACAATCTACTGTACAGGTTGGACAGACAAAGCTCCATTCACTCTTCAACATATAGATTTCTATCTGACCTTCAACCCCAGGTATCAGAGTTGGAACTGTACCTCTCTGTCTACTGTTCATACACACACAAACATGCAAGCACACACACACACACATACACACACCAAAAGTAAGATCCCAAGATGGTTGAAGGGGTAGTAGCTAGTTTAGCCCACTGTGTGTGACATCGCAGGCCATTATGAAGCCCATACTGTCTGTCATTCAGTAGTGAGATGAAATCTTTGGTACTATTGTGTGAGATGTGTAATAACAGCCTCCACACCATGTGATCTCTGTCTGGGAGGATTTAGTAGCTGAGTCACATTTCAGTTTTCCTTCTAATGAAAAGAGCAACTTTACAAGGCGATATTAAGGGCTCGATTCAATCCGTAGCACTGAAGATCTGTGTTATAGCGCGATTGAAATAAAAAGGTCATTTCCGATTGAGCCGACATATGCAACGTTTACCAGGAATGCAGTCTCCGAGAACGCGGTAACATTGCCTTTAAATTTCAATCGTGCTATAGCGCAGATCTTTAGCGATACACATTGAATCGAGCCCTAAGAGGAAGGCCACTGTTTAAGGTAGAAGCAATCACATTACAGCTTAAAGACCTGGCAAAAAGCACTTGACCCTATAATGCCACAGTAACAAAGATAGGTTGGTGGGTGGATGCTCCTTTTAAACGTAACCCCCCCCCCCCCAAAATAAAAAAAATAACATCTAATGGTGAGAGGGATGGTGTGTGATTATACCAAGACAAACAGAGACAAGAGAAACGTCACAAGATCTTCTAAAAAAGCTTTTTGGGAGAGACATACTAACAGCTATCATGTGGTGAGCCAAAGTTAGCATGTTTACCGCCTTAGCCAGGGTGTTGTACTTAAGCGGGTGTTTGTGAGTCCCTGGCGTCTTCTTTTGGCCTGATTAATTCTCTGGGGCCTTCGTTAAGCCTGGACCCAAGGCTCTGCCTGCAAGGCACATCATAGGGCTGTCAGAGGAACATTTCAGCTACCATCCCCTAAACACACACCACACACTCAGACCTCAGAGAACAAATGAATGAGGGAAGGAATAAAGAAACACAGACACACACGTACGCATATGCACACACACTCACACACAACATGGATACATACAGGTGTTACAAGCTGGGTTTTGTCTTTCTTGCACATAATTGGAACTGGGATGGAAAGAGACAAAGAAAGAAAGAAAGATAAAGGGGAAAAAATAAAGATTTTGAGAAGAGGGAGAGGGGTGTGTATGAGAGGAATATAGGGATTTTTGAGCAACCATAGAAACATGACCAATTATCTTTCTTAAAATATTGTGCCCCTGAAAATGTCTGTGCTTTGATTAAAAAATAAGTTATGGCTACTTTGCAGTACATATCATAGCAAATTAAATATCTAAATGCCTTTTATGTATATATACATTTGAATTGAAATGATTTTGGCAAACAAACAATGACTTTAAAAGGATAGTCATGATAAAAAAAAGAATGTTCCTTCATTGAAACAAAGACCCTTCACAAATGTATAATGTTTTCATACGAGGGAAAATGCTAAGTATATCAGTGATATCATTCCTTCCTTTCATAGGGTCTTATGTCATCATGTCTCCCCTCGGTCAGCCCAGTATGCTTCACAATGGGAGGTTGTAAGCTGAACTAACGTCACTGGTCAGACAACAGACAGGAACAACAACAACCCATGTGGTTACCTCTATTATATTTTTCTTCACTTGTCTAATTCTCTTCTCCAAGCTTTGGGCAATGTCTCTGAAAGGTCTGGGCCAACCAGTCAGGATATAAATAACATAGGAAAAACTAGTAAAAAAAACAACAACAACATGGATACAATACAAAAATAGATAGCTGGAGATGACCTGTCAATGTGTGTTCATACAATGAAGCACAGCAAGCTCTCTGAAGACAAACAAAGCCATGGCAATAACCTATCTAGAACCTAAAAGGGTTCCTTGGCTGTCCCCATAGCAGAACCCTTTGAAAAAAATGTTTGGTTCCATGTAGAACCCTTTCCAGAGGGTTCAGCCGAAGAACCCCTTTGGAAACCTTTTTTCTAAGCGTGTACTTAATGTATGTCCACTGAATAGAACATTTATAGAACATAATATAGAAATATAAATTATATAAGCACTGTAGAACTATGTTGGTGGAACATAGAAATTTAGAACTATACACAAGGTGTACAAAACATTAAGAACACCTGCTCTTTCCATGGCAGACTGACCAGGTGAATCCAGGTGAAAGCTACTGCATGATCCCTTACTGATGTCGCTTGTTAAATCCACTTCAATCAGTGTAGATGAAGGGGATGAGACAGGTGAAATAATTATTTTTAAGCCTTGAGACAATTGACACATGGATTGTGTATGTGTGCCATTCAGAGGGTGAATGGGCAAGACAAAAATGTAAGTGCCTTTGAACGTGGTTTGGTAGTAGGTGCCAGGCGCACCGGTTGTGCCAGGCGCACTGGTTTGTGTCAAAAACTGCAACGCTGCTGGGTTTTTCACGCTCAACAGTTTCCCGTGTGTATCAAAAATGGTCCACAACCCAAATGACATACAGCCAATTTGACACAACTGTGGGAAGCATTGGAGTCAATATGGGCCAGCATCCCTGTGAAACACTTTCGACACCTTGTAGAGTCCATGCCCCGATGAATTGAGGCTGTTCTAATGGGGGGCGGGGGTTGCAACTCAACATTAGGACGGTGTTCCTAATGTTTGGTATACTCAGTGTAGACCAAGGAGTGTCAAATGTACTGTAGTTTAGGAATTAGGATTAAGACACTGGGAATGTTCACAGTCGAGTGCCAAGAGTATTATTCTCTCTTGCTCCTCAGAGTACAACAAACATTAAGGCAACAGACAACCGTTACGCAACCCAATCCTTGGAAAAATAGTCACACATATGTCCGTGACTCACTTGAAGAATATGTATGATCTACAGTATGTTAAAAAATGAATCCATGTTTTTGTTTAAAAAAAAATATTGTTCTGTTCACCCCAGCAGATATTGAAGCTAAATAGATATCAAAGTTAGATTGTGTTTTTTGGAATAGTTAGAGGCCTTGTAGAAAAGATTGAAGAGTTTTTAAAGAGTTAGTCCTCATAGTCCTCCCCGGCGGTCGCTGCCTCTAGAGCCCCCAGAGCTTCCGCCACCATAGAGTCTGTGACGCTCTGCACGTCATCTTCTTCCCCTCCCTGATCGTCGCTCTTCGTTACCGAGATCCCGATCCCACTCTCTACGGTAGTGGCGTCCGGCGCCCTCCTATCATCCTTCGTGTCTGCCGAGGACAGGCTAGTCGTACTGGTTGGAATGTCCGCAGACAGGACGCTCGCCTCGTCCCCCGTGTCGCACAGGTACTCAGGCGTGCCCCCCACCCCCTCATCCAGCTCGTCCGTCAACGAGGTGTAGCACCCAACTCCGGACCGGTCCCCTATGGAGGCGTCCAAGCCATTTTGGACCATCCTAATCTTGTGGGAGTCATTGTCACCCAAGTGGGTCAGATTGTGACTATGATCCAGGGAGAGTGTGTTGGGGTAGATTGGGACTTGGCTGGGGCCCTTAGATGGATCTTGTCTTGGCACCTGGCCCTCTGGATGGAGGATATACAGACCACCACCACCCTCCCCTGCCCAAGGCTTGACTGCCTGCCCCCTCTCTGGGTTGGCGGGCACGGCGTGAAGCTTGTTGATCTGGTTGTTGTCGATCTCCAGCTTGAGGCCTCCTCCTCGTCCTCCACCTCCTTCATCGTTGTACTTGTTGTTGTTGCTGAAGCCCAGGTTGTGGAAGCCCTGCTTCTGCTTGGTGTTGGACTGGTCCACACCGTCTGCTGGGAGGTAGTGGGGCCGGTAGAGAGAGCTCTCTGCCGGGTCCCTCTTCCTGCCGTGGACATCCACCGGAACGGTCGGATCATAGATGTAACTGAGAGAGGGAAGAAGAGAGGAAGAGATAGAGAGAGATAGAGAAAGGGGAGAGGGAGACCATTAGATACAGACAAAGATAAACACATAGATAGCATGTTTAGTTAATTCAGCAGTTCACGTTTATTTACAAATGTGAATAAATCAAATAGCAATTCAATAACAATAGTTATTATTCCCGTCTTGTCAACAGTCCCTGTGTTCTATAGAGAACTGTCAACTTCCAAGGACCAGTCACGCATGACTTTCATTGTTTCTCTAAGACACAGAGAAGAAATACGAGAGGCAGGCTATTTAGGCACATTGACACAGTAGTCTCAGGGTGTCAGCTTTGCCTGAGAATCGATTAAACACCCTCACACACTCCCTTGCACACTGTCAAAACAAGGACACCTCTCCTAGTAGTGAAAGACACTACCAATACACCTCACACCACACACACACACACACACGGAGTGGACACACACCTTTTGTTTAAGATAAAATATGCATCAGCAATAGAAAAAACATCTGTGAAGAACAATAACAGGGGTTTGAGATAAGAGACCACATTAGTTCAGAGGACGCTGATGCAAAGGTACCCCTGAGTGTCTTTTTCAAAATGTCTGATGTAAACAAATGTTATGCATATTTCTCCTTTCTCTGTTTTGTTGTTGTATGCCCCTGTGTCTGAGGAGAGAGAATAGAGGTAGAGGGAGACAGAGAATGACAGAGAGAGAGAGAGCGACAGAAATAGAGAGAGAGCAACAGAGAGAGATCAGAGAGACAGAGAGTGAAAAAGGTAAACACTAACACAGATAGTACAGGGGCAGTATAGATAGGGGCCTTTATTTGTGGACTTTGTAACAGGCTGTCAGACACTTCCAGCTGTGAGCACCTTATGCTGATCACACACTCCCTCTCTCTTTCACCATGCACTCCCTGAGCACTCCTCATACCCCACAAATCACACAACCCCCACACACCATCTCACACCTCAAAGTGTGGTGTCTCTTGCTCAGCTTGTCTGTCCTCAACCCTTTACCTCTCCCTCTCGCTTCAACCTCACCCCTCTCTCCTCTCTGTGTTTGAGCACTCATCCTCTCGCTGTATGATATTGTCCTCCACAACCTCTCCCTCTCTCCAGTCCTCTTCTCATTCCCTCACTCGAGTATCTTCCTTCAAGTTTTCCCCCACCCTTCTTTCTTTCTTTCTTTCTTTCTTTCTTTCTTTCTTTCTTTCTTTCTTTCTTTCTTTCTTTCTTTCTTTCTTTCTTTCTTTCTTTCTTTCTTTCTTTCTTTCTTTCTTTCTTTCTTTCTTCTCTCTCCCCACAATTGTCCTCTCCCCAATGTATCCTTCACTTGAGTTTCTTCCCTCTACCTGCTCCCTCCCTCCCTCTCTCCTCACAATTATAAACTGAGAAAATAATGTTTTCCATTTTGTCTTTCCTCCAAGTTCAGGCTACAGCTGTGTCTGCCAAGGTGGAATTTCAGGCTTCTTTCAAAAAGTGAGACAGAAGCTTAGGTAGGATTCCCAGCAAAAAAACCCCAATAACAACCCAAATACTATTTCTTCACAAAACAGACAAATTGGCAAGTGTATTGCATGAGTCTTCTGTGAATAAATAGAAAAAGCAACCCCATCGGTTCCTATTCTGATACAGTTGAAGTCAGAAGTTTACATACACCTTAGCCAAATACATTTAAACTCAGTTTTTCACAATTCCTGACATTTAATCCTAGTAAAAATGCCCTGTCTTAGGTCAGTTAGGATCACCACTTTATTTTAAGAATGTGAAATGTAAGAATAATAGTAGAGAGAATGATTTATTTCAGCTTTTATTTATTTCATCACATTCCCAGTGGGTCAGACGTTTACATACACTGAATTAAGTATTGGTAGCATTGCCTTTAAATTGTTTAACTTGGGTCAAACGTTTCGGGTAGCCTTCCACAAGCTTCCCAAAATAAGTTGGGTGAATTTTGGCCCATTCCTCCTGACAGAGCTGGTGTAACTGAGTCAGGATTGTAGGCCTCCTTGCTCGCATACGCTTTTTCAGTTCTGGCCCACACATTTTCTATAGGATTGAGGTCAGGGCTTTGTGATGGCCACTCCAATACCTTGACTTTTTTGTCCTTAAGCCATTTTGCCACAACTTTGGAAGTATGCTTGGGGTCATTATCCATTTGGAAGACCCATTTGCTACCAAGCTTTAACTTCCTGACTGATGTCTTGAGATGTTGCTTCACTATATCCACATAATTTTCCTTCCTCATGATGCCATCTATTTTGTGAAGTGCACCAGTCCCTCCTGCAGTGAAGCACCCCCACAGCATGATGCTGCCACCCCCGTTCTTCACGGTTGGGATGGTGTTCTTCGGCTTGCAAGCACCCCCTTTTTCCTCCAAACATAACGATGGTCATTATGGCCATCAGACCAGAGGACATTTCTCCAAAAAGTACGATCTTTGTCCCCATGTGCAGTTGCAAACTGTAGTCTGGCTTTTGTTATGGTGGTTTTGGAGCAGTGGCTTCTTCCTTGCTGAGCGTCCTTTCAGGTTGTGTCGATAAAGGACTCGTTTTACTGTGGATATAGATACTTTTGTACCTGTTTCCTCCAGCATCTTCACAAGGTCCTTTGCTGTTGTTCTGGGATTGATTTGCACTTTTCGCACCAAAGTACGTTCATCTCTAGGAGACAGAACGCGTCACCTTCCTGAGCGGTATGATGGCTGCGTGGTCCCATGGTGTTTATACTTGCGTACTATTGTTTGTACAGGTGAACATGGTACCTTCAGGCGTTTGGAAATTGCTCCCAAGAAATCAGCCAAGGATGAGGTCTTGGCTAATTTCTTTTCATTTTCCCATGATGTCAAGCAAAGAGGCACTGAGTTTGAAGGTAAGCCTTGAAATACATCCACATGTACACCTCCAATTAACTCAAATGATGTCAATTAGCCTATCAGAAGCTTATAAAGCCATGACATCATTTTCTGGAATTTTCCAAGCTGTTTAAAGGCACAGTCAACTTAGTGTATGTAAACTTCTGACCCACTGGAATTGTGATACAGTGAATTATAAGTGAAATAATCTGTCTGTAAACAATTGTTGGAAAAATGACTTGTGTCATGCACAAAGTAGATTTGCCAAAACTATAGTTTGTTAACAAGACATTTGTGGAGTGGTTGAAAAATAGTTTTAATGACTCCAACCTAAGTGTATGTAAACTTCCGACTTCAACTGTACATAGTGTATTTCCTTTCTAATAAGAGCTGGGGAATTGGGTCTCATTGTGATAGCCAAGGCAGGGGGAAAGAGGATGTGGATTTTCAGCTTGTGCCACCGAAGAATGTCTGTGATGTAAATCGGCTGATTGGGTGAACATGGTGGAGCTAACTATATAGATGAGATGCCACAACAACACACAAGATACCACTCCGGATGTGACTACAATACAAAGAAGTGCCAGTCTAATGCTAAAGAGGAAATGCAGGTAGTAGAGGCAATCAATTCCCTGAACAAAGGAATGCAAAAAGTTAGAGGATAAATCATACAGATGTCTGCAAGTTTTTTAAGCAAACCAAAAATCTATCCATCTACTACTGCTAGCTACTATTCTAATCGAAGTGGTTCTAGGCAAGTGTTTCAGCAATAAGAGGTGTAGTAACCTATTTGGTCTTCTAAAACAGCCTTGATAGATTTCACAGGAGTCCTGTGTGATTTGTGATCAGGTATGAGAAGGTGTGAGAGACTGGAGAGAGGGGGCAGGCAGCCAAAGTGGGAACTGACCCAGTAACCTACAGTACAGTCCCACCCAGCCAATCCGTTTAATACGCTCAGGAGATGGCTAAGCCAAGAAATGTGACACTGAGAATAATTAAGGGGAGGTGTGTGTGTGTGTGAGTGTGTGTGCACATGCATTTTAAAGTGTGAGAAACAGAGAGGTTGTGTGTGTGTGTGTGTGTGTCTTTCTACCTTCCTGTACATGCGAAAGAGAGGCGTGTGTGTGTGTGTGTGTGTGTGTGTGTGTGTGTGTGTGTGTGTGTGTGTGTGTTGGAGGGATTACAGACTACGGTATGTGAATCGGTGTATCCCTTTTCATTTATATTCAATCAAAAAGTATTACTCCTTCCCCCTTTCCTCTTACATTCACACTTACAGCAAAGTAAGCCGAGAGAGGAGGGTGATGAGATGAGTATGGGCATATTGACCCGATGTTTATACAGAAAGCCAATGTTATAGGTCACTGTGAGTCGGGACACTTTATAATGTCTATCTACATGAAACAGAAGGCAAGAAATCATTAGGATGGGAGGAGAATGTACAGTGACATTCAGAACATCTATCTGGTTCAATAGGATAGATAAGGCTATACAGGGAATACTGTAGCTGTAGCTCGTGACAGTAAGAATAAGGACTGGATTTTGAAAACCATCTTACATTTTTTGTTTAGCAGTGTGACCTTCGCTTAGAGATGGAGAGCTGTTGTCAATATGTAAACCTTCCCCCTCTCCTCACACAAACATAAATACAATGGGTTAATACAGACAAACTTCAGAAGCCCTCATGCACGCACACCCACACCAGGGTTTCCGTTAGGAAAATGTGACACCGGACAACGTGACCAGGAAGATTTTAATTTAACGGCCATTTGAGAAATTTACCGGACCCATATGCATTGGGTGCATAACCCATTATGGCATCTGCCCACCGTGCTCAGGATGACAGAAATCACATTTCAATTATGGTAATTCATCTAAACAGAACATGCAACTCCTATAATGAAATGTTTGCCTAAATGTAATTCTAGGAAAACACCATTCTAAACAGCACACCTGATGTGAGCGGTTCCATATGTGACAGAAATGAAAATCTCAGTTTGAAACTTAGAAAGAGGGGGAATCTAAAGATGCAACAACTAGGATTGTGCCTTTGGCTTCTGGACAAAAAATACATTTGATATGAAAACCAAGAGAACAGGAGAGAAATCCTGGTTTCAATGCCATATGACATTTCTATTGTTGGATTTTGCCTAAGCTACTTTGAAGCAAGGTAAGACATGCCTCATAATATGTAGTAAAACATTCAGGTTTCAAACAATTAAATATATGTTTTCAAAATGCATACTGCCTCTAGCTCACATTGCAAAGTGGTGGGTGACGTGCTGATAGCCTGCCTACTGTTACCTATGCACTTGAATGGTGAATGACAGGCATGCTTCAGTTACTAGTTGAGAAAAAAAAATAGTAGCTCTTTTTAATCGTGGCCATCAAAACTATTTTTAACACGTGATTGCATTTACAATTGTTGTGCAAAAGCACTTTTCACTCCAGCAGCAACGAGCTGAGGTGCTGCAGTAGCAGTTCTAGCGGTGTCTGACAAGTGATATTTAGCTCAAAACAGGCTCTGTATGCTGTGCGCTTGTGATACATGCATACATGATGACTACCGAAAATACACACACCCCAATTTAATTCAAAAATGTTGCTAATTAACCTATAGACCAATACGCATGTCGGTCAAATTAATTTACGTCAACAGATATTTCTATCAATGAATAAAAAGCATTATTTTGCAATGGGATTGTTTTTTCTCCCGGTCAATTTGGCCGGCAACAATTTATCGGCTTTTCATATTTTTTTATCTGTCGAAAGCAGTCTAATGGAAACCCTGACGCGCACACACACACACACACACACACACACACAAACACACACAAACACACACAAATGCTCCTACTCACCTTTTAATCATCCTACAGCATTGGCACCCCATCTGGCCAGCTGGTCAGTGAAGCTGTGAAGGGACAAAAAGCATTTTGTTACTAAAAAAGCAAACTTAAAATGATAAATAACCACTCCAATGTAGAAACACAGAGAAAGGTTAGGGGCACCACGCGTCAATAACTCTAACGACAAGCAAGGCCCCATCAAACCTGGGTGACATTTTCAATCAGTGACATTTTCTTTAAACCCCAGATGATAGAAAGGTTATATCCCAGACTGTCTGAGCAACACACTTTCAAGAAGTCTAAATGTATTGATCCAAGAGTTCTCTTCTCACCTGTCCTGTGACATAGAGGTAGCCTTTGTTGAACTATCGGGAGGATTTGAACCTCATAGGTCAGGTTTAGACTTGGCTTGCCCTCTGTGTCCATGGTGACGCCTGAGCGCTGTGTTCAGGGATGATGCAGTGTGTCTGTCTGAAGCGCTGATAAAGCTTTGGTATTCAGCCATCACAATTTTTCTGTGTGTGTGAAAGAAAGAGTCTAACATTTCTTTGCCTGGATAAATAATTAACCAGAGAGTATTGAATGGGTCTGTCTGCTAGCAAGAGAGAGATGGAGTAGCAAGGACACATTATCTTTCTCCCCCAGCTTTGGTCTTTACTGAGAAACAGAAAAAAAGTGAAAAAAAATCCAATGACCCCTTGCACATCTTAAAGGCACTGACTTTTTTTTCTTTCCAAGAGACAATGTGGTGCTTACGGACAGCATTATGACATAAATAAACATTAGTGTGAAGTAAGAAATGATTAAGATATAAAGACAATGAATTGTTGGCATTCAAAATTGTTATTCACATTGATATTCACTTCAACTGAAACAAGTAACAATATATGTTACAGGGTTATGTTTACCTATACAATAACACAGATATTTTTTCTTCTTCTGTTGCATCATGTTTTCCTACAATGTTTCCTACTGAACATGACCCAGGACTGATAGGTCAGGGGCACAGCAGGTTTAAAAGGGCTTTGGACCGTTTGATAGAGAGATCCAGTCAAATGCCAGGGATGGACGTGTCTATCACTTAGCTAAGCCTTCAATTGGGTCATTAGCTTCAGCCAATCCCCTCAATGACACCTGTTGGGTTGTCGGAAAGGAGAGTTCTCTTGATCGTCTACACAATTTAAAAAGTAGCTTCCTTCTGCATGTCCTCTAGATATTTAGTGTTCTGAAAACATTTGGGAGATGAGTATATGAGAATCCCTACCCATTTTTTTTTTTTTACATCCAGTTCTCTGAAGTCAGTGCAGGTGCAGGAAAAGAAACAAGTAACCTTGCTCTGGGCTTTGGGAGATAATAAGTCAATATTCCCATGTGATTTAGCTATGGCATAAACAGCACAATTCTGTGATTTGACCCACCTTTAATAACCGCCAAGATCACACTAAATCAGTACTAAATCAGTACCAAAAACATATAGGGCTCTATTTCCGGCTGGTGTTAAACCAGCGCAATTGTCAAACGCATGCTCATTTGCAATTTCAACCTGTTAAAGCCGGCACTCTTCTATTTTCAAATCATAGCGCCATAATTGGTAATTTACCTCTCTTAAATGAGTTCGCTTGAGGTGGGAAGGGTGGTAATATCTGAGGTGTGTCCTTAAAAACATGTGCCAGTGGCAATCTCAGTATGCGCTGGTGGGGATATTTATGAAGGCAGTTTGTTTTGTCATGCCCAATGCATTTGACAAGTCGTCAAGACTATCGATAAAGGGTTTTGGCTCGTGAGACCGCTTTGAAATAAATCTTAATCACCAAATCTTTATTAAAATATCAAGTTTGGCAACAGCAAAACAGTGATAAAACTCATTATTTTAGCCAGCTCCTGTTATTATTTTATGTGTGTAAAAACCCCTCCATGATGTAGGCTATATTCCCATCATGGAACGAGAGATTAGATAATTCGGTGACACTCGTATTTAGAAAAATGTATCCCGTACATATGACTACCAAAACTTGAAACTATTTTCCCTTAACAATTTCTTGTTTTCTGTTTTGTTTGATTAAAAAACCCTTAATCTACTATAGCGAAAGCTGGTTCAGCAGCAATGCATCTGGTGTCGTTCTTATGCTGGCTATGCACAAGTAGCTGTTCATAAATGGTTTCTCAATGGTCTGCTAGTGACGCTTTTGCTATATGCTTTCGCATTATTCACAATTCACACACTGTAGGCCTACCTGCAGTCAGGGCCGGCGTTATTGGCAGGCCTTAGTGGGCCTGGCCCGCCCTATCATACAGTGGGGAAAAAAAGTATTTAGTCAGCCACCAACTGTGCAAGTTCTCCCACTTAAAAAGATGAGAGAGGCCTGTAATTTTCATCATAGGTACACGTCAACTATGACAGACAAAATGAGGGAAAAAAATCCAGAAAATCACATTGTAGGATTTTTAATGAATTTTTTGCAAATTATGGTGGAAAATAAGTATTTGGTCACCTACAAACAAGCAAGATTTCTGGCTCTCACAGACCTGTAACTTCTTATTTAAGAGGCTTCTCTGTCCTCCACTCGTTACCTGTATTAATGGCACCTGTTTGAACTTGTTATCAGTATAAAAGACACCTGTCCACAACCTCAAACAGTCACACTCCAAACTCCACTATGGCCAAGACCAAAGAGCTGTCAAAGGACACCAGAAACAAAATTATAGACCTGCACCAGGCTGGGAAGACTGAATCTGCAATAGGTAAGCAGCTTGGTTTGAAGAAATCAACTGTGGGAGCAATTATTAGGAAATGGAAGACATACAAGACCACTGATAATCTCCCTCGATCTGGGGCTCCACGCAAGATCTCACCCCGTGGGGTCAAAATGATCACAAGAACGGTGAGCAAAAATCCCAGAACCACACGGGGGGACCTAGTGAATGACCTGCAGAGAGCTGGGACCAAAGTAACAAAGCCTACCATCAGTAACACACTACGCCGCCAGGGACTCAAATCCTGCAGTGCAAGACATGTCACCCTGCTTAAGCCAGTACATGTCCAGGCCCGTCTGAAGTTTGCTAGAGTGCATTTGGATGATCCAGAAGAGGATTGGGAGAATGTCATATGGTCAGATGAAACCAAAATAGAACTTTTTGGTAAAAACTCAACTCGTCGTGTTTGGAGGACAAAGAATGTTGAGTTGCATCCAAAGAACACCATACCTACTGTGAAGCATGGGGGTGGAAACATCATGCTTTGGGGCTGTTTTTCTGCAAAGGGACCAGGACGACTGATCCGTGTAAAGGAAAGAATGAATGGGGCCATGTATCGTGAGATTTTGAGTGAAAACCTCCTTCCATCAGCAAGGGCATTGAAGATGAAACGTGGCTGGGGTCTTTCAGCATGAGAATGATCCCAAACACACCGCCCGGGCAATGAAGGAGTGGCTTCGTAAGAAGCATTTCAAGGTCCTGGAGTGGCCTAGCCAGTCTCCAGATCTCAACCCCATAGAAAATCTTTGGAGGGAGTTGAAAGTCCGTGTTGCCCAGCGACAGCCCCAAAACATCACTGCTCTAGAGGAGATCTGCATGGAGGAATGGGCCAAAATACCAGCAACAGTGTGTGAAAAGACTTACAGAAAGACTTACAGAAAACGTTTGACCTGTGTCATTGCCAACAAAGGGTATATAACAAAGTATTGAGAAACTTTTGTTATTGACCAAATACTTATTTTCCACCATAATTTGCAAATAAACTCATTAAAAATCTTACAATGTGATTTTCTGGATTTTTTTTTCTCATTTTGTCTGTCATAGTTGACGTGTACCTATGATGAAAATTACAGGCCTCTCTCATCTTTTTAAGTGGGAGAACTTGCACAATTGTTGGCTGACTAAATACTTTTTTTCCCCACTGTACCTCCTTGCCCTTCCAAATAACATGTACAAATATTGATAATTTATTTGACCGAGACGCGCGCTGACATTCTCAGATAAAGCATCCGAACGAGCGAAACAGCGCCCCTCTGTCTCAGTATGTGTAGCCCATGTATCTGCTGCTGTCTGGACAAAAAGAGTATGGCATGTCATACTCTTTATGTCCAGACAGCATCAGATACATGGGCTACATATAATACGACAGAGGGGCGCTGTTACGCTCGCTCAGATGCTTTTTCCGGTGAGATAGTTTCGTCCACTTGCGAATTGAACTGGGATGTAGTGCTGCCCTAGCGCGGGGGAGCAGCGCAGAATACATGAAGCTGGTAAAAATATTTCTAAAAAATGAATTTGGATAAATTAATTTAATAAATTATTTAATTGCTACTAAAATTCCATGAAAATGATAAGAGTGGTACAGACTCTCACTCTCTGAGGCTGATGTGTATCCTCACAAAACCGCTGGCCCAGATTGCATACCTTGGCTAGTCCTCAGTGTGTGCTGACCAGCTGGCGGTGTCTTCTCGGACATCTTCATCCTGTCCCTCTCCCAGGCAGTAGTCCCCGCCTGCTTCAAGGAGACCACCATGGTCTTAGTGCCCAAGGTGACATGCCCAAATGACTATCGCCCACATCGCACTCACCCCGGTCATCATGAAGTGCTTCGAGAGGCTGGTCATGGAAAATGTATTGGGCCGTAGCGCTGGGGAGCGGCGCAGAATACATGAAGCTGGTAAAAATATTTCTAGAAAATGTATTTGGATAAATTCTAAATAAATTATTTAATTTCTACTAAAATTCCATGAAAATGATAGAATGACAAGGTAAATAAATATGTAAGCTATAGCAGCCTATATGTAGGTAAATGGTGGTTTCTTCCTATATCTTCTCGCTACTGGTGGTGGCATGAATGATGAATAACTATATAGACAATGCCTTCATCAAACAACACTGTTTCACGACGCATCAGTGACATGGCGGGAGATGTTTTGAAACAATTACTGCTTTGCATACAAGCCAGTGAATTCTATGCATTACAGCTGGACACGTCAACAGACGTGGCGGGCCTGGCACAGCTCCTGGTATATGTCTGTTACGTTTATGAGGGGTCAATTAAGGAAGACAT